TTGTGACTTGTTTTCTGCATGTTTGTACGATCCCTGTCTGTGAACACAGGCTTTTTATTTCCCTCTGTGATGGCAAAGAGAGTCTGGATCAATGCAGGCGTTACTGTTGTGTTCAGGCCATATGTTTCCTCATTCTGCTTCTGCTACAAGTGACACCAGACGCAGCTGCCCTGGAAGGAAGCACACATTGAGATATGATAATGATCAGAATTTGTATTTTAGAAGCTGAGCTTCTAAATATGCTGCTGGTCATTAAGAGAGTATGTATGTACATAGGTGTGTGTGTGCATGGACTTTGCTTGCATGAGCTTTGGTGTTTGTAGAGGTGTTGCTTTTACAATCGCTGTTGTAGTCGCAGCGCGTTCTGGTGTGTTTTCCGCCATTTCCTGTCTCTATGCAAAGTGTGTATACAGGGCTGAGAGCTCAGGGTGAGAAGTTCATCTGAGTCAGTCAGCACACTGTGAGAGGAAGTGAAGCCGTCCCCCTGGCCTCGGAGGAGTGGGATCTGTGTACGGTTGTGTGTCAGCTGTTCACTGCAGGGGTCATGTCTCCATGCAGATTCTCATTTATTTGCTATGCAAAAGCAGCGAAGGGACCAAAGATCAGTCCATGTGTTCCAGTGCAGGAAAGTGAGAGAACGACAAACAAGCAGAGCGAGGGGATGGTGGAAATGAGCTCGATGTACGCAGACCAAATCAGATGCTCCCTGAGCGAATGTGGGGACGCAGTTGGGTTTAGAAAAGTTGGTGCTTTCCGAACATATAATGGGGGCAGGGACTGGAGTGCACAACAAATTTCTCAGAAGCTTATTCTTGCAACAACTTCCGGCAGCTACGGCGTAGACAGAGAGCTGCTGTACGCATCGGTAATGGACTTTATAGTTTGGTATGTTGACTGGACAAAGGAGCAATGAAGACTAAATGCAGATGCAATATTTACTCATTTATTCCTGACCAGAAGCCCCACCACTGCGTATGCAACAAATATAGTGTTAACAACAGTTTTGACACTTAACATTAGAGCTGAAATTATTAGTAAATCAAAGCTGGGGTAGGCAGCAACAGAAAGTTTGCTAAATGCGGGCATTCTGCACTGTTCGGTCCCATGGCACTGGGGGTTGCGCTGGCTTGATGTGGGTTGCTGCAGCCGCTGAGTGGGGGTCTATCTCTGAAGCTGCTGCCCGCTCTCCTTCAGACGAGGAGATCTGTAGCAGTGGGGAGTGAGGCGGAGGCCACACTGTGATTTGAGACTCTAGCTAACCTTAGCTACATAAATGTGAACTTGAAGCTGCAGCCATGAGCCTTTAGCGCTGGTCAGCAGAAGGCTAAACTATTAGCAACATTTTCTCTCCATCTCTGAAACCCTTCGCTAATATTGACACATGTTTTATTTCATTTATTGTCAGACTCTCTTTCAGACTCTCCATTTGATAAGTCCGTCTTCATAGCAACTTTCTCTCCAGGAATCTCTGCCATTGAATCAGGCTTTCACTGAATAAACATGCACAGGCATCTGCATTTTTAGAGCAGCCATCAGAAACAAGGTGCAGAAGTCTGGTTTCCTCTCAGTCCAATTGAATTACAATATGCTCATAGTTCATCATGGGATTTTTGCCCAAGGAAGCCAAAACTACCCTGCCTACCTCAGCTTTAATCTGGTAGTCAACTAACAGAATAACGATAAGCAACAATGTAGATAATCAAGTAGTCACTAAATTCTCTAGTAATAAACTAGATTTTGGACTGTTGGTTGGAGCACCATGGGCTCTGGGCAACATTTTTGTCGACCCAATGATTAATAGCTTTATCGATACAGCAGTCGTCACTCGTCAGATTAATCTATAGTACAACCATGTAACTGATTCTATAACACGTAACTGAATGGTTCACTTATTTTCTGTCACCTACGCACATAACAGGTGATATGTGCTTGGATAAAGTCCTCTCACAGTGACCGACTGGGGAGACTGTCTGCTGCATGGCACAGGGGATTTCAGGAGCCTGCCTGAGCTGGCTGTTGCTCCAGTGATTAATTGACTCATTAACGAGAGCACTGCCTGAGCCTTTTCTACACCCTCTGTTTGTTATAAGTCCTGTTTTTAAACCCAGTATGAACACAAGGCTGTGAACATTTGTTGGTCTTAATAACTTGCCACTCTAATTTATACTCAGGACTTTTGTCCTTGTCCAGATCATGGATGTATTATGTCAACTGGATACTGGACTCAAAGATGGCACCCTGCCTTCACTTAACTTCCGTGTTTTGATGTCCACTGCACAACATGTGCATTATTGTTGCTGTGCGTTCCTACTTAGCCCATAGACTGTACATTAGGATGATGTTACACAATTTGATATCATCAAATATAAAACCTCCATGGATTAAAAATTCATAATACGATGAGTAATAATGGACTGTCTTTACAGTTTCAGGTGCCCTGTCAAAAGTTTTACAGACATTTCTCTCATAATGGTAGCATATGGGAACAATGCTTTTTGGGCTGTTTTTTGGTGCTGTACTGCCGTACCGAGCTCTCTTAATACATCCATAATCGGGATCCTTTAGAATTATGTTTTTTCCAGTGATCTGATTTTGTCAGATTTTGGGCTTTTGACAGATTCTGGTCTGATCCTCTAAAGTTAGGGTCAGGGAATGTTTGATCAGAAATGGTTTGTATGTTGTGTTGCCCAAGCTGGAAGTCAAAAGTGTTCGTAGTTGGTCAGAATGGCTGCACTCAAAGGTGGAGTGAAAAGATGGCCGTCATTAACAGGGAAGAGATGCAATATTTTTTAAATGTGGGGATAATGGTGCACATTTTTAGACAGTCTCTCATGGAAGATGTTCCTAATGTTGCACTCAGTTGTTCACATGAAACGTAAAAGAAATCATTTTGAATTTTGAAATAATAATGAACAAAAAGGAGTTACAGAGAGGAGTTCTGTCCTCTGCACAGCGGTCCAATCACAATGTAAAGTGGGTGTGAACATCGGATATTTGATAACTTAAATTTACATAACGGGTTTGACACAGGTCCACCTGATCTGAGGTTAGAAAGGTTTGGGGTGTTGTGGTTTCCGTAGCAATTCGGACAAGCAGTTTTGATGGAATATGCCGGCAAATTTAACCTACCTTGGTGCTGGTTAGCAATGTCGCACAGGTTAATACGATGATCTACTTTAGTTAAAAGTGAGCCAGCCCCTTCATCAAACTGGAAGATAGCTGGAAGGGTTGAGCAACCATTGTTATTTTCATATCAGCCAATCGTGCACACTCATGATAGACAATCCGATCGCCAGGGGATGGCGGGAGTAGGAGGCGGTGGGACCGTCACATCACAGCACACCGGTGAAATGCCAGCATAGACGACTAGTCTCATATTAAAGAAAAATGTAACATCTGTTAATATTTAATCGAAAATGTTTAAACAATAAAAAAAAATGTGTTAAATTGTGATGTCTCCTCTATTCAAATGGTGACTCCCCTTTAAAAGTCTGCACGTCTGTGCTTGATACAGCAATATCACAGCATCGTGTTGTTCCATTTAACATTATTATTACATTTAATATCACAGTTCAAACCATATCTATAACATTAACCACTCTTATGGAGCACAGAGCAAATGGATCCATGGAAAAGATATGGTTTGTAATGAAGGATATAAAATTCAGTTGTCACGCGTGCTGATTAACAGGGCTCAGGAGGCGGACATGCCGCTCCAGCAGAAACATCTCTCAATGCACAGTAGGTTGCAGATTCTAAATTATTTTTATAACATATTAGTTCCGATAGTTAATTGGTTTAATGTGCCTTAGTGTCAGCGTTGACGACATCCATTCAGTCGTTGATATACAACCCATTTGCCAATCGGTACAAGCCCAAAGATAGCTGGCTAACCCACTAATCTTGCTTCATCATACAGGCCCCAGAACATCAGAGTATATTTAGGTCTTAAGTCTGTGAAAGCAGAAGTGGACAAGAGGGACAGAGGAGGAAAGATGAGATTATGATAGACTAACATGTCCCAGCGCTGTGTTGACTTAAGGTTCAGCTCTAGAGATGGAGACCGAGGGCCCAGCCTCCCATCCAGCAGTTATCAGTAAACAGAGGGAGGCCTGGAGGCAACTGTTCTGCATTTTTAGAAGCAGTGGGACAGTATTTCCTTCTCATGATGTTTTTTAAAGATACAGGAGCTATTTATGTGACAAACTAAGGCCTGAAGGTCGTAATTGTCGAATTGGACTTTTAGGTGGAGATAAGGGAGTTTTCAAAAATCTAAAGGGGAATTCCACACAGTAGCTTCAGTTTCATGATTAAAGTGACCAGTGAGCATCTGCAGCCTCTAACTGACCCAGCAACAGAAATCCACTCCCCATTTCAGTGGAGAGGGGGGCTGTGATGAATTAGCTTTTTGACTTGTGAAATGATGAACTTCTTCAGCATCTGCCCACTTTAACAGAGGCTGGGATCATGTGTACCTCCCTTAAGAAATACAGCTTGTTTATACACTTGTTTATGCAGCTGCATGGTGAGATAACACAGGGAGCGGAGAGGGAGGGGTGCTGCGTGGCTGGCAGTGAATCGAAGGACACTGATAATAAATAATGGCCATAAAGTGTTTGATAAAAAGGTTTATATTTCTCTACTTACAGCATGCGGTTGTTAGCCTGCTAGCTCATGCAGCTTATTTCTGCAACCCTGCCAACAGCATTTTCTGTCCCACATGCTGTTTGCTGCGGTGTGTATGTAAATTTCACCAGGCTAGTCCTGGTCTGACCACATGTTGCTGCCATTTACTCTCAGTTCTGGAATCAATAGCTCTCTCAATAGCACATTTCAGACAGGCAGAACTACTCTCCGTATAAATAACTGGGGTGGGATAAATCATCACACTGATATATTCAGTTGAAGCTTAATGGAAGAGAAATGTACCAGCATGATACTTGTTGCTTATGCTTATATTGTTGAGTCTTATACTTCTGCTCTCTCTGTTTTTACCACAGACCTGAAGCAAACAGAGAACCACACCAGACCACAACAGACCAGACCAGGTTGAGCCCAAATACTGACACCCCCCTTCTCCCCTCCCCCCTCAGCCTTGAAGGCTGAATCCACCAGATTGTTTCATTTAGCAATAATTTCTTGTGCTGATCGGACAACCTCAGGCCACTGGGACTGGACAGGAGGCCCAGAGGTTTCCCCCGCTGGAGCTCTAAGCTGTGCCTGGCAATGCCTCAGGTAAGAGAGATGACAGAGAGTCGGAAATTGTTCTGTCACTGGAACACAGGTAGACATGTTTCCTCCTGCACAGTTAGGAAAGGTGTTAAACATTCAATGGTTTCTCATTGGCCGTAATTCCTAGCACATTGACCATATGCTTTAATTTGATATTCTTTAGTATGCAGGTTTGGTCACATACACACAGCGATTAACTCTCAGTAGCATTAGTTAGTATTTTGGTGCAGTCCAAATCAACAGTCAGAGGCTGCCTTAACGGCGTGGAAAGAAGGACCTGCCTTTGTTTTTCTCATTCAGCTAAGCATTTGTGTGATGCCATTGTAAATGAAACATTGCAAGTATTTCCACAGATACCTGACTTCAGTTGAACAATGTGAGCACACATTTAGACACAAAGTGTTGTCCACTGAGCCTGACTAACCTGGCTAACGGGTTAAGCCAACCAGCATGCTATGGCTGATAGAAAGCAACTAGTTTCCTGCCAAAACTTAATGGATAGAACTTGTGCTGCAGAATTTGTTCTCCGCATTAATGGCTGATACTCAGTTTAAACAGTGCAACAATTCAAAAAACAAAGTGATATGAGAAAAAATACATTACTGACCTTGAGGGAGATGGAACAGATGGGACTGATAACAAAGGAGGAACTCTGAGTTTGGTTTAGGTGATGATGATGTCTGCTTTTGTTAGTTTACTTCTGTGTGCATAATGGCCGATATAATAACGATAGTTTGGAGCAGGAAAAAAACAGAAAGATGATTAATCGGCCAATAACACCTGACATGAAAAACTGAGATGAGTTTGTTAAACCTGCTTTTTGTAATGGACCCCAGGAGGCCACATAAACATGGCTGTATATACACACAACCAACAGCTCTGTCCATGGTCCTGAAATTTTAGCGAGTGCTATCTATACACCGAAATAACACCTCTTCCGGCCCGACAAAAAGATTTTATCACTAACTGCACACTGTGAAATGCACTGAAAAGTAATCATCAATGATACCAAAATTATTTAGTAAAAACGCAATGTAGACTACAAGAGGCCGAACAAGTTATAACAGGCTACCTTAAGTCCTTACACACACACAGTGCCGGCCCCTCCCTCTCAAAATAATTATTTAATAGTTATTTTTAGTTAATAGTCATTTTGATTATCAGAAATTAATTTCACACACATTGCTTATGCAAGGTTTGCTACTTAATTCTAGTGAAATTATAACGACCATGGCTGCTAGCAAAACAGAGAACACACACTTTCGGCCTTGGAGCAGCTATACTCAGTCTTATTAATGTATTAATAATGCTACTCTATAACCAGTAATTTTATTATGCCGCTAATAAAGAAGTAAAGCTGTCCTGCATTAGTTAACTTTAATTTAAATCATATAAAATATCTAAAGCACACATGACCTTTTATTTGCACGTTCCGCCAATAATGATTTGGTTTATATAAAGTCCTATTTGCGGCCAAACCGTCGGTCAACCTCTTATGGTGCGTATTTTTGCCTTTATTTGACGGTGTAGAGACAGGCACAGGAAAGGGCGGGAGAGAGAGGGGCGTAACATTCAACAAAGGCTTCAAGGCTGGAATTGAACCTGAACAGTGTGTTAGTGTGGCATGTCCTGTATGAACTTGGGTACCGAGGCACTCCAAAGTGTGTATTTATTGATTGATTTCTGTTGTGTTGCAGCCCAGCGTCAGTGGGATGGAGCCTCCCTTTGGGGACGCCTTTCAGAACTACTCGTTTGCTGACCAGGCCCTGACCAGCACTGAGCTGCTCGCCACCAGCTCTGACCCAGATTTCATGTACGAACTGGTGAGTGGGTGCATGCACACACAGACACAGACACAGACACAGACACACACTCACACACACACACACACACAAATCAGACAACCCAGAGAATTATTAAATGATGAAACTAATATGAAAGCGTAGGCACCGTTAATGGCTCTTCGTACGACTGCTCATACTGTATCGCCCACACCCGTATATACAAAGATGCATTTACACACACACACACACACACACACACACACACGCACACACACATGCACAGAAACACTCATCTCACCAAGGCCCTGCAGGCATCAGACCTCCCTAACCATCCTTTGAGCCTGACTTCTTTTCAGATCAGTCACAGCTGCTCACGCTGTGCTGTCACTGAGTTGCATCTGAATGAAGGATCCAAGTTTAAAGATCTCCAGTCAAAATTCAATTTCCTCAAACATCACACAGTTTTTACCTCTTTTATTGTGACAGAAATGTAAATAAATGGACATGTCAACTGTTGTGAAGTGCCAATATTGCTTTCAGGGATTCCTCTTGGCTTTTGATTTAAAATGCAAAAAATACTTCTCTGTGTGTTACATCAAAACCCTGATTGGCATCAAAGATTCCTCTAGGCATACTGATGACAGTTACCCACTGAAGTAGCATCTGTCTGTTCTCTGGGCTGTAGTTTGGAGTTTCTCTTCTATGTTCTCTCTGTGCTGTCACATATCAGCCTTATGTCACTGCTTACTGATTGCTATCAGTCCTGTTGTTGCCACTTTAAATTAAAAGCTCTGCACTGGCAAACCAGCTGAATTATTGTGAAGCAACTACAAAAAAAGTATGTCAGAGTTAGCAGAGCTTTGTTTGTGCTGCTATTCTTCAATAAAAAACAGTTCTGCACAACAACATGGTGAGAGATCAAACAGAAAGTGATGTTAGACGAAGAGCTACAGGCTCTTTATGTGGTTTGCGAGATTCAGCACACCTCCAATGTGTCATCAAGGTAAACAGCTTCTTTTGCTTTGCCTTGTGGAGCAGTGGAAAAACACTTGCACCGTGTCAGCACGGCCTGAGTGGTCACAGTCGCTCACGGCTCGGCACGAGCATCCCCACCCTTATCAAAAAACAATATTAGGTTACATGTTGCACAGAACACAGGCTTCCAACAAATGCCTGAGAATTCATAGAACAGTGAGCGGCACAGTGATGTTTTGTTTTCGCTCAAATAAAGGTCTATATTAGTCACGTGTCTGACATTTTTGCAGAGGAAACCCATCTCCTCTTTCAAGCACATCAATATTTCCATCATTTGTTAAACAAAAATACCTTCTGATTCCCTCATCTTTCACAGGGGTTTTTAGTCATAGTCATACCAGTAGTGAAACAGTCTGAATTTAAATTCCATTGAAAACGGCAAATAACTGTTTGCATGCGGTCAGTTCTGCTGCCAGCGTGGCATTTTAAATAGAGAGGCCTGTGCCTAATTGTTTTGCAGCCGTGTGACATTTGCCAGCGCTCTCGGGTGGGTGATGTGAGACAGTTCACCTGTCACCACTCATGCTGTCAGCCGCAGGTGTCTGCGTCAATTTACTGTCCGCTGTAGACTAAACAATAGTGATCCACTGCTGCGATCACAATTTCTTGCACCGTAGTAACACATTAATGTGATGATCTGTCATCTTCTTCAGCCTTTGAGATGCTTTTCACTTTACACAGATACGGCTTCTGTAAACTGTCTTACTATACAGGGAATATTCTGTTTTTGATCTTCTCTATCTCTCCTGTAAAGAAATAGAAAGATGTTGCATTGACAACCAGCAGACCCACACCAGCAATGTGTTTTGCCTCAGTCTGGTCAAATCCAAATCCAAACGCTTCTGCTGGAAAAGCTAACGAGAAATGTCGTCACACTTCAGCTCCATAGACATTCACCTAACAGGCATATGCTGATATCAATTGATGTCAATTCATGCAATTATCTCAGACAAAATGTCCTCCTGACAATGTTGTGATGGTAAAATGACAATACAATTATACAATTGAAACTCCAGTGATGACCAGTACTACTTAACTGTACATTTGTGATGTAGTATAATTCCTGGAAAATGAATTCAAGCTGTTTATGGATACAATAATCAGATGGGAATGATGTTGTTTTGTTCATCCAGCAAATTAGACACCGACAAATTAATGCACTTCATCTCGCTGATGTACAACATGTATAAACATCCAATTTTCTCAGATAAAATGTTCATTGTCATTTTTCCAACCTTGGCTGCCACTCTTTGAAAAATATATATATATTTTTGCAACTTTGTTGTTTGTATTTTCAAGCCAGATGAGTGGCTGTATTTTTTATTAGGGTATACCATAGTATAAATTACTGGTCCATCCCTGAGTCTAAACAATAGTTTCAGGTTGCAGTAATCAGTTCTTGGATTGTGATCTCAAAGTACTTTGTGCAAGTTACCAAAATCCTCAATGTAATGGAACACTGTCAACAAAAAGTGAACTAAATGAAGATAAATGATCGACCATCCTCTAACCCACCACCTGCTCAACTCACTGCCATGTTTTCTTCCCCTCTGCAGGACAGAGACATAACCCACCGGCAGAGCCCCTGTGGGGACAGCGTGGTGGGTGCTGGGGACGGAGGCAAGGAGGTGGAGGGTGGTGTGGATCAGTTCATGGGTCTTGGCGAGTGTGAGACAGTCTACAGCAGCTCAGCGTTTGAACAGTGGGACTCCTACTGGGAAGACCTCACCAGGTACTGGATTATTTATTTCTGTGCTGTCTTTTATTTTAGATTGAGTTAAATACAGCAGCAAGTAAATAAGACATAAAAGCATACTGTTGAATTTAATGCAACTCAAATTGCATACTTTCTTTCACCTTAGTTAAAGGTAGTTTTCATATCCTAAAATTGTGCATAACATTACCTACTAACTGTACAAAAACTGGCCTGGTATTAAAGACAGGGTTCCTGCAGGTCCTGAAAAAAGTCTTAGAAAGTCTTAAACCTAACTTTCTGAAGCAGTAGGAAGCCTGCAAATATTAATGGTACAGGAGGTTGCATACAGTGTCCATAAGACTTTTCTGAGTTACAGACAGAATTAGGAAGTCAGAAACTAAACGGACTAAAAATATGCAGTTTTGATTATCCTTAAAAATTAATTTCAAGACAGGTATCTTTCCTGCACAAGCCCTAGTATTTGAGAAGCTTGAACCAGCAAATGTTGTGTTATTTTTGCTTGACAAAATTATCAATTGATTTTAAGAATTGTTGTCAAACTTCTTTTATAAACTCATAATCAAGTATTTGTTCAAGGGCTAGCTGAATTGTTGAAGTCAACAAAGAGGGTTCTGGCATAGAGGAGGTTGTACTCAGTGGTTGGCTGCAACATGTCAGCTCAGGATGTCTGATTTTTACTGTAGTAGGAAAGCAGATGAGAAGTCAGTCTGTGAACGTTATGCAATAAGACAGGTGCCTAAAGGTTTTTATTGCTGAAGCGTTCACCATCACTGACTGGTTATCATCGAGGCAGGTCATCTTGGTCTGACACAGAGGATGATTTGAAGCAGGTAGTGGTTTTGCTCAAAGGCAGGGAGTGGTTTAAGAGGCCAGTAAACAACAAAGCAGCTGGCTGCCGCAGTCTCCTGAGATCTCAGGTGATGCTCCGTCTGTCCTGCAGCTATCCTGAAGCTTTGCTGCCAAAATAGTTTGTGTACTCACTCCTCTGATGTTGGGTGTCAGCTGAGGGCAGACAACAGTTTCCAAAGTCTAAAGACGATTAAAACTGAGGCGGAATAGTGCTTGCTGTTGCAGGGTTAGGGAAATCTTCTGCTAACAGGGTTGATTGAGGTCATGTTTAAGTGGAACAGAGGAGAGTGCAGTATCTTTTTGGCTAATGAGTGAGTCATTCTTTCACAACCTCGACTGGCCAGATTAGGTCCACGCTGCTGTTTGGTAGCTCTAATGTCTAATGGACCGTTTTTCTGGGTCAGTAGAAGTCATGTTCACTCTGTCAGCTCTGAGGTACCTTTGCTTTTTACTGTGATTTTACCATCAGTAGTTTTCTTCATCTGGCAGGCTTCATAAAGAGATTAAAGTGTGTGTGTGGGTGTCAGAACTGAAACTACCAGATGTAGTGCTGCCTCTGAGCTCCCGGTTTGCTTCTTGGATCTGTTTGTATGTTGTGGTATGAACACGTTTGACTGCCTTTAGGTCTCCAACAATTGTTACAAAAGTTAAAAACCACACGAAGGAAAACTTAATGGGGAGAAAACAAATGTGAACAAATTCAGATTTGTTCTGGGTTGTATGAAGTGAAGCATGGATGCATCACTCAGACTTGAAATGTTTCAACTTTTTTCGACAAAAATTATTTTAAATTAATTTATTTATCTAGGGCTGCAGCAGTTATTTCCATTGCTAATTAATTTCTCAAATACTTTGTCCATTAATCGATTACTAAAAGATACTGAAAAAAGTCCTTCAGTTTCCCAGAGTCCAAGTTGACAACTTCACATGTCTTTTGTCCAAATATAATCACTTAACAATGACATGAATATGACACCAATGATCATGAGGTCCTACAGAAGTGTGTTGGCCTCTCTGACTCAGTTTTAGATTGGTTTAGGACTGACACTGAGATTTTGTCTCCCTTGGTGACCCCTCCTTGGCTAACAAGCAGCATAGTATCGAAATTCTGCATGAAAGATGCTGTATTAAGTAAGGTTGATTTAAAACAGAGAAAAGCAGCCAATCCTCGAGCGTTTTTACTTGAAAATGTATCTTTCTTTCTTTTTCTTTTTTTACAGATTACTAGCTTCATTAACATCCATGTATATGTTCCCTTTTGTGAATTTCAAACATGCAAATGAAAACAGGAGAAATAAAAAGTTTACCTGCATCAACAAACGCTCTGCAAGTATTCTAAAGAAGTAACAAGACTGTGAAATGAAAAGAAATTGTAGAATATGTTTCCTTCAGCTTTTATCACATCCTCTCTTCACTGATAAACAAATTCATATTTAGTTTTTAGATCAAAAACAGCATGGCTAGTTATTTTAATTGATCCTTGGACACCTGTACTGGACTCTTAAATTATTTTTTATGCTGTTTTTTTACAACTTTGTACTACTGTTGCTTTATTATTTTTACTATTTTACCTTGAACTTTTGTAACTTGCGCTCCATACATATAAAGTATGCAGGCTCAGGGACTGTGTTGTGCTGTATGAATGCTTGTGCTCTTGTATATAGTGTCATTGATGTTGTACCTTGATCCCAGACACACGCTCTCTCATTCTGCCTTACACAGAGATGCACTGACTATGACCTGGCTTTGATTTTGGTTACATTTTAAAGGTTGTAAACACTGACAGGACAATGAATACTTTCACTAATAGAACTGCATGTCTCTGTGCTTGGCAGATACACACGGCTGGCCAGCTGTGACATCTGGGGCACCAAAGAGGTGGATTTCCTTGGATTAGATGACTTCTCTAGTCCCTACCAGGATGAGGAAGTGATTGGTCGAACCCCAACGCTGGCTCAGCTTAATAGCGAGGATTCGCAGCCTGTGTGTGAGGCCCTCTACCCCCCTACTGACCTGACCCTGCCTGCCCCTCAGCCTCAGCCGTCCCAGCTTCCCAGTCACAGTAAGAGACCTCTGGTCCCTGGCCAAGGATTTGGCCCCGGCTCCGCACGTCCCTCCCCGAGCTCCACATCCTCTTCCCGTCCTTCCCGCAGCCTTCTCCCAGACTTTCCTGAAAGCTCCCAAAAAGCCACCAGACCTGTCCCCTCCAGCACTGAGACTATGGCCAAGACCCAGAACCTCATCAGTCTCACCCAGGACCACGGCCAAGCTCACACCAAGCACCAGGGGCGCGGAACCAAGATGGCAGCCCCAACTTCTCACGGCACTGACTTTGTGCAGAAGGCTAAAGTCCGTGTGAGTGCTGTGCCTAAAGCTCAGACCGACATGCCCTCCCAGACAGATTTCGAGAGGTCAGATGCACCTCTACCTCTTTCCCAGCCCCAAGATGAGAAGGCCTGCACCTCAGCGAGCGCCACCTTGGTAGGAATTCCAGTTGCTGCAGCCAGTGGCTCTGCCAGTCTGACGAGCTATGAGAGGAGGGCAGAGGGGGCAGGTAGGAGGGAGATACCTGTAGGCTGGTCCGCCACCATGCCTCAACTGGTCGAGGCGAGCCAGGCCCTGGAGAGTAGTACCTCTGGGCTGGTCAGCAGCGGCGATAGTATGGCGGGAGCTAGCGGCAGTGGTGGAGTTCTGGTTGTCGAGGGGACGGAGAAGAGCAAGGAGGAGGAGCACAACTACTCTCTGTTCCTGACCCGCAGGCTGGCGGGCAGATCCCACTCCCAGCTGGAAGAGGACGAGGAGGAGGAGGATGAGGAAGAGGTGGAGGAGGAGGAAGGCGATGGGCTCGAGCTGGATGACGAAGACCACGATGAGGGTTTTGGCAGCGAGCATGAACTGTCTGAAAATGAGGAGGAGGAGGATGAGGAGGAGGACGAAGACTACGAAGCTGACAAGGACGACGACATGAGTGATGCCTTCTCCGAGCCAGGTAGCTGTTCATCGTCATGCATCTGGTTAATGTGTTCGACCAGTCAGTGGCAATTTGTTACTTACTTATATCTTAAATTAATACCTTTCTGTCTTTATTTACCCTTAATTTTACGTCTCTGTCTTTCTGTTGCTCTTCTCTCCTCCCTGTTCTCCCATCTCGTTTCCTCCAGGCTGTGACATGGAGCTGATGGAGGACATTAAAGGCCTGACAGCAGGAGTCTCCAGCCGGAAGAGAAGCAGGCGTCGCTACTTCTGGGAGTACAGCGAGCAGCTCACCCCCTCCAAACAGGAGCGTATGCTGAAGCCGTCTGAGTGGGACAGACACACGCTGCCTAGCAACCTCTACCAGAAGAACGGGCCTCTCCATGGTATACATACACACACTCACATACAGATATATATATATATGCACACAAGCTGGCACTGTAGGATATAAGCCTTGCTTTTAAATTTGCTCACTCAACAGCTTAATGAGAATCTTCAAAGGAAAGACTTTCATATTATTGTATGTTTTACATTTCACCACCTTGATCGTGGCATAAAACATCATATATGTCTTTCAGTGTGGACTGCAGTGGAAGCACTCGGCCTTTTATAGCGACTGTGACTGGCTTTTCCACAACAGCAGCTGTGCACAGCATGCTGCAGTGATACTACAGTTTAACTGATCACATTGGAAATATTAAATAAATAAAAGGAGCATGTCTCATTTCTCACATAAACAACACAGTCCTGCAAATCATTTCTCTTGCATTCACGTCCATATTTATTGTATCCCTTTGTTTGCATAGGTAGAGGATGACTCATGTTGCATTTTAATCATTTGGTTGCGGTTTTCAAAAAGAAAAAAGCACTTCAAGCTTGTGATGTTTGAAAATTCAGTCATAACTAAGGCTTTGCGGTCCAGCACACAGAGATAATGTTTTTATATTACTGAACTGTTGTAGATCCACCACAGGTGTCACCAACTGTGACTGAATGGAAGATGACAGTTAAAGATCTGTTTGCTGTTGACAGCAAGAAAATGTCTCAATGTGCTGAAAGATATTTATTAAACAGTGAAACAGTGAAAAGTAAACATTATGTGGAAAGATTCAAGTTGATTTTTCCTGCCTCAGTGCCTGAACAATGAAGAGAGTAAAAAAGAAAAGGTTTACTCGATAAACAATAAGTAACAAGATGGAAAACTGGGAATAGCAAATGTACCATGTGCCATCTTACATGCTTGTGCGCGCCATGCCTGCTGAAACACTGTGATAGTCTCTAATGCCCCCTTTTCAATGTTTGTCATACAGGAAAGTATATGCTGAAGAAGTCTCGGCGCACAGACGTGGAGGACCTGACACCCAACCCACGCAAGCTGCTGCAGATCGGCACAGAGCTACGCAAACTGAACAAGGTGATCAGTGACTTGACCCCCGTCAGTGAGCTGCCGCTGACTGCACGACCGCGGTCACGCAAGGAGAAGAATAAGCTGGCATCCAGGTAAAACCTGCATGCATGTACAGTACGTACACACCAGAGTGGCACCGATCTTTATGTACAATCACGCTGACCTCCACAGTTGATGCATTAAAAAAAAGTTTACCATTGAGAACATTTGTGTAGTTGAGAGTATAGTTATAGTCAAGATGCTAATTTGTGAGCAGTTTGATATGTTTCCCAGGGCCTACTGTTTGTTAAAAAGAAGTCCTTTCCTTTTCTGCCTTAGTAAACTCCGCTCATCTGTTTTTGTATTATAGAGCTTGTCGTTTAAAAAAGAAGGCCCAGTATGAAGCAAACAAGGTGAAGCTCTGGGGACTCAGCACAGAATACGGTACATTGCTTACGACACATTTTTAACACCAAGTTTATCAACTTGTGCATCCATTTTCTTCACGTCTCTGCCTCTGTTTCTGAGTGTGTAATCTTTTTGTCACTGCATGTTTGTGTCCTGTAGATCGGCTGCTGTTTGTTATCAATGCCATCAAGGAGGAGATAGTGGCCCGAGTGGAGGACTCCTCTCCGCGTCCGACCAACATGGCCGACACTCTGGAGCATCTCATCAAAGAGACACTCGGTGAGAGTTAAAGACGAGGCAACTGAGTCGTTTACAGACATAAGCAAGTTATTTGAGTGAGTTATTTTTTTCCTCAACAGCAGTATGCGATTTGCAGGGTGGATAACTGATCTGTCGATCTGTTCTGAGCTGATCAGATCAGATCGATGGATGAGAGGAGCAGCTGCTGTGAGTGAATACAAACTTTTAGACCAAGCAGAATGAAAGATTTACTTCCAATGCGCCTGACGTTCTGCTGCTCCATCTCTGCTCCGAGTGTGCTCTGCACTCTGACAGTGTGATGCTATAAATAACCGAACGGTAGATATGTTCCATTAGCTCTCCTGATGAACAGTCCAGCTCCAAAAATAGGAAATCTATTTGTGGTAGCAGATGTTTTAATCATGGCAGGCCGCCACAAATAAGTGAATGTGTGGGAAACCATGTCATTATAAAACTCTCACTCAGATACATTTGATTATGAAATATGGGTTAAATTTAGGTAACTAACATTCAGGTATAATATCATCCAAAATAAGATTCAAAATTATCGTAAAAGCAGATGACAAGAATTAATTTAGCTAGTATTCAGACAGCAAATCTCTGAATTACTACAGACTCAGAGGAGATAAACTTTGTCTTTGCATCATATGAACGTAGTCAGAAAATAATTCAGAGGCAGTTAATGCCTTTTACAAGGATATTGTTCCTGGTCTAAAAATAAATCATCTCTGGTTGAAATGTTCTGCATGAAAATGTTTACATCAAGCTCATTGTGAACAGGGAGGTGATTTACAATAACAGATATCTTTTCTGTAGAAGCTGTACAAAAGTATTAGACATAAGGAGGTTGCACAAACAGGTTTTAGAGTGCTTTCACACCTAACCTGCTTGGTTCAGTTAAAAGGAACTCTGGTCTGTTTGCCGTTTGTATGATTCATTTGGGCTGGTGTGACAGGTATCAATCAAACCCTCGTGCAAACCAAACAACTTAACCCATCCCACTTGAAGAACAGAGTTTGTTGCGGATTATTTGTGTTGTGAAAGAAAATTAACCAATTCTGATAGTATATATGTGATTTTAGAATGATTTCACAAGCTAAACTACTAATAAATCCATTTGCTGATCATGAAATCTGTCCACAATCTTATATTTGATCTGTATAAAGGCCAAGTATAGCTTCTAACCTGTTTATACTAATGCACACGTGTAACCGTGGTAACATATATCAGAATGGGTACCTTCTATGACGAAAAAGCTGTTAAAACGGCCATGATTGTCACTGACTCTGTGTACTTCGTCAACTCATTAAGTCCATTAAAAGGTGTGACAGTGATCTCACCGAATTAAGCCTGGAATCATTACCGCACAAGATGCCTTCTTTTCATCCTGTCTCTTTATTGGTCATTATTCATAACTTGCAATCGATTTGTAGGCTGATAAAGGTCTACTAATAATGCTTACAATCAGATATTTCTCTATGAGCTTTTTGTGACACCAAAAAACATGCATATGAACACTTTAAGAAGCATTTAAGTGCTGCAGAAACTTCTGTCAGTCACCAGAATTTGACTTCTACATGTGGGTCCTGATGATGCAGGATGACAATCACCAAAACTGTCCGATCTACGATTTACCTGTCACCAGTGTTACCTGTATCATTCTTTCTCCTGAACCAAACTAAAGGTGTGAAAGCACCCTTAATGTCTAAGATCTCCCTTTATGTGTTTCTGTGTGTGCAGTGGCATCACCTGTTGCTGGGCAGACTTCAGACTTCGTCAACAAGATCTTGGAGAACACAGGACGTGGCGATCCCACCGGCGGACTGGTCGGCCTGCGTGTCCCCACCTCCAAAATCTAGACAAACCGTGGTCCACTGAGAGAAGTGGACTAGATATTACCACCGTGCTGTCCTATTGTAACTATGCTCCCCTCTGCATGCCCCTCCAACCCAGAGTACATACACATTGTTAGTCACACAAACACACATACCACTCCCTGTGTGTATGTATGTGTGCTTGTTTTAGCCATGCACCTGTATGGCGTACACCCTAGCTTACTGTCTCTGCACGCTGTGCGCAGAGTCAGTGCGTCACTGTCTCCCAACCCATTGTGAGCGTCTGTTGGGAAAAGCGCCTCTTAAAGCAAGGGATGGTTAGGTGTATAGCTAATAGCACGTCCTAAATCCACTGGTGATTATTAGATGTGTTTAACATAGTGTTGTGTAGGGTCGGTTCAGACAGAGGTCTGCTTCCAGGGCTGACATGGAGACAGTCACACGAGTGTAACCACTGGAAAACTTTCACATAATTTGCTGAGGTTGTAATGACAGAGGAAGAATTGTTACACATCAGACACCATCAAAGGTTGGAAAAAGTTCCAGTTATCATTTCCTATAGGAGGCTTGCCTCACATGGCAACAAACTAAACTCCAAGCTCTTACAATTGACCCACTCAGTAAAGTACTATAATAGCTTTGGTTGCCAAGACAGCTGCAGAGGAAAAAAAAAAGCAGCGTTCTCTGAGGCGTTATGGGGTGGCAGGAAATATTTTGTATTGAAGGCCTAAATATGTTCATGCCATCCCCTGTTTGCCAATCAGGTCTGCTGTTGTTAAAATGTAGGAGTTAGCAAAAAAAGCTCAAAACAAAAAAGCAGATAAAGTTAAAAATACACTTAAATGATTAAGCGTCAGACATCCTGCTGGGTGGAGGTTTGCGGCAGGCAGGAGGAAGCTTATCGGCTAATTTTGACGACGTTAACTTAAACAACATGAGGTAGCTGACCATGTGGAGAGGAAGTGCATGTCGTTTGGTGCTTTTCAGCCTTGTGCTGGTTATAACTGGACTGGGTGAAACAGGCTTTTTGCCAGAACGGGAGCAGACTGTGAGGACAATGATGATGGTGGTGATGAAGAAGAAGACATAGACAGTGATCCATCTCCTCTAGGAAACTGTACATAGAAGTGTCTCCCAGTGAAAAACGGCACCGGCTCCCCTTTTTGTACAGTAGAGAAGACCAGGCTAACAGTTTGGTGTGTTCATACTAGTGTTTGATCAGAGTTCTATTCATTGTGCCTTGTGTATGTATGTGTGTGTTTCTGTAAGTCTGAGTGAGTGTGTGAGAGGGACTGAACGAGAGAAGGTAATTGGTCAGAGCTCCCTGAGGTCCAGCCAAGGAGAGGACTACTTTACACTGAGGGAGTTTGTTAGTGCGAGGATGGAGACATTTGTGGGGTTCGCTGTGTATTTCAGTTGTCTAAAGATATTCTGAATGTACATAAAACAAGTGGAAGCTCTCGTTGCGTGATGCCACAGAGTCTGTGTATATAGGAGGGCTCTGCAATAGATTACTTTTGGTTTTTGGTACTCTTGTCTTTAGGGATCGGGGGAGGGTTAAGAGATATTTTCGTTTAGAGTTACAAAAAAAATATTTGCACACTATATTTTGATTGTTTTTTGTACCAAAGACACATGCAACGAAATGGCGACCAGCCAGTTAAAGTAAGGTTTTGCACAGCTTACCTGACGCCGTATTGAATGTAAGAAATGTGGGAGGGTCAGGGAACTTCATAGAACTGTGAAATTAGCTTGGGTCCAATTCTGTACAGAAAAGGAACATTCATGAATTTTTTTAAAATCTGAAAATCAACCCCGTCTGTGGGCTTCTCCAGTAGATGTGTTGCTTAGCAAGCACTTCATTCCTGAACTGATTCCTACCCCCCACATGCTAATTGTTTTAATGGCGCTTTCTAGGATAAAACCCAAGAGCGCGAGTAGATAAGCTATGTTACATTTTTGCTTGTTTGTCGAAATGTCACCAACAATAACCAAAATGTTTTGTTCCTGTTGTCATTTGTTTGATTTCTGTATGTAGAAGAGGTCTAGTCATCATCAACAGAATATTAACGGAATTGTGTTTTAAAGTACTGTATATAGACACATTAATGCTATATCTATCAATGGTGAAATGCCACTTTTCATGACAATTGATTCATTTTTAAGCATGACACATTTCTAAAAGCCTATCCTTGCATTGAGATGTTAGAGAGAAAAAAAACACAAAAACCAAAAAAAAAAAAAAGTTCTTGTTATATTTTTGTACTTTAGCTGCCTGCTAGCTTTCCTGTTGGTTTGGAAGTATTCATTGGTAGGAGAGAAGGAGATGTGGAGGAAAAGAGGAGACAGGTCTTAAAGAGCAGCCAGTCAATCTGATAGTTTGATATATGAATCGACACTTGACCTCTTCAGTCTCCTTTGCTGGCTGAGGGAAATACAGAGAAGCAGGACTGGATTTATTTAAAACATAATGCAGTGAAGCCATGGTCTAGTTTGAATGGTCTATAAAGAGAATGAGGACATGCTGTCTTTAGCGAGGACAGGAAAGCAAGGAACTCGGAGGACAACAGCGTGAAGATGTGAGGACAGTTTGCATAAGAAAGCCAAAGCCATTTGATTCTGGCCCAAACTGATTTGGATTCAGCGCTGCACATTGTCATTCAGATTTCTACACGTATTCCCTCTGTTGACCATGAAGTTGGTTGAGTTTTGCATTTCCTGGGAGAGGCATTGTTCCTTTTGAGGTGGCATTGCTGGATTTTTATCTGCCTGGCCTTGCCTTTAGTCCTCAGTTCACACCCTTCCTGACCGCTAAGAATAACTTAATTCACCAACACTCAGAGTTACAGCATCCAGGCCACAAATTGGCAGCATGTCCAACCTTTAGAAATGCATGATGCCTGTATGCTTGTCTCCCTGCTGCCTACCCGGAGGAAACGCCGCCATTCCTGGGAACTTAAAAATTCAACCAAACGCGTCTGATGAGGCTGAATTCAGGTTAGCTTGAAGTGAAGAAGGCGCTCCTTCACAGAATGAACTCTGATGTCTGACGATGGTGGTCTTTCTGTATCGTGTGATTGAATAACAGCTAGTGCTACATATATATATTTTTACTGATTTCTGTTCCGTCTAAAAAGGGAGAAATGGTGCTTTTTTCTGAAACTAGAATGATGAGTATCCATGATTCTTATTTGACTCCTTAGTCTAGTTGTAGCCTAATGACTTGCTCTCCCCTACCGTCCATAGCTATTTTCTTAGTAGTGATTCATTTTTGTAAATAGTCTATATAAGTTAATATGTATCTTCTAAATGTTAGATATATGTATAGAATACTCTATCTTATATGTTTGAAAACAAAAGCACTTTGTCCAAAAAAGGAAAAAAAAAAAAACACAAAAAAAGAAAAAGAAAAGCATTTTTTTCTTCCATTTGCTGCTAAAAGGCCTGGTGTGAATGCTGCAAGTGTACTTGACGACTACTTGCTAGGATAGGTCTATTACCTGACTTGGCTAGGTCTATAAACTAGCAGGGATTAGGTGTAGGACCTGACGAGGGCTAGATCTACATGTTCCTGGAGCCATGTAATGATGCGAGGTGTCGTATGAGCGCGTATCATTGCTTGGTTTTTGGTGTTTTGACAGGATAGGTCTATTTCCTGGTCAGGAGCCGTGCGGATAGGGTGTTTGTGGTCTTAAAAAAAAGAGGGTTTTGATTCCAGGGCCCCTACGTTGATCCTGATGCTGACCCCCTTGGCGTCATGATTCATTTGCCTTCAGTAGAGGTTTCCTATGGAAAAACTGATTCTGCTTTGGCTTCCTCTTCAGGGTGATGTACAGTGTAGACACATTTCTCCAGAGAGCTATATTGTTATCATTTGTAAACTGATTTCTACTTGTGACTTAATGAGGAGGGGGTTTAGCCTAGGGCGGCCAGGAAGAGCCCATTTGAAAGACGTTGTTCCGGGCCGCCTTAGGGGAAGTTACTATATCACTGTACTGTATGGCAAGCCAGTTACAAATGGAGGCTCAATCCGGACACTTATTGCCTTTTTGAACTTTTCACTTACACACAAACAAAAATAATAACATGGCAGACATGTCAGTTGCCAAGGGGTGTGCCCGAGGTTAATGACATTGTTGCGCCAATATACAGTCAACAACAACAAAACCATTCAGCCTGATAGGCTCAAAACAACCTTGACTGAAGTAGCAGACGTGGTGAAATAAGTCTGAAAAACAGCTTCAAAAAATTTGAACTACTTGTGCTCAGTTGTATCTTTTGGGATAATATTTGAAGCATTTTTTCGGCTACAGTTTTGCCCAGGTCTGGCAGGGGGTCAACAGTGGTTAAAGGGCTGCTGGTTGGCCGACAGTAGAGCGGAGTGTTTGTGTTTTGTAGTCGATCACGAGGCTGATACAAGAAAGAGTCCTCACAGGTTTTTACATTTAACATGATAGGCGCAAGCTGTGCAACTTTACATTCAAACCAGGAGACTCTGTGGCATTTTAACAGTCAAGGAAATGAGTGAAAATCCACGCCAGTAAAACTATTCCTTATTCTTTTTATTTCTGATGACATAAATCCTATACAGTCAACTATTAAGCTAATAGAGTGTGTAACTTTGTGCTACTCTTGTCCAATAAAAGCTAAGTGGATCCATAAAGCTCTTCTTCAGCAAATCAGGGTAATATCGTTCTTCTATCTGACATATGTGATGACATATAAAATCAAAAGAAAATATATTTATGTATTCCAATTATTGTCGCCATTCTTTACTCTGTACAAAATATTTTGTGTGTGTGCGTGTGTGTGCGTGTTATGAAATATCAATGTCAATCAATATAGTGCAATGCTCTCTACACAAACTGAAAAAAAAGGCCAACAGACTTGTCACAAGAATAATCAAAGTTTCTCCGCTTTCTCTAGATCGGTATTCTAACATACACAACCTGCAACATTTTCCTCTCACAAAGGATTTGACTCTGATTTCCTGCCGTGATCCAACTGGGGTTTGTCACTTGGTGCTGATTACTTTTCGTTATCCAAGAAGTCATCCAAGAATTTAAATAGCATCTGTATTTAGATCCACTCACAAATAACATGTGATTATTGTTCCCAATAACTGTCATCAGACCGGACTTCCCCTCTCGATCATTTTCATTGATTCTAACTGTCCCTGTTGGACCAATCAGAGGAAGATTCACACTGATTCTTACTCTGAACAACAGAATGATGATTTCTGTATTACTGAGCTGTATGATCGCTGTTGTTAAGCATACCATTATTTGTTGTGTAAAAGTCAGACTCTGGGATTTAACACCACTGCACAAACTATCCCATCTGTTAGGTACAAAATATTGACCAGAACTGCGAAATTAATGCACATATTCTGGTGCATTAGGACGTTGTTTTGTTAATTTAAATAGCAAGTGGAATTTCCTTTAATTGTTAAAATATTGGTATAAATCCAACTTGTGTAATATTTGGTAACACTTTATTATTGTTTCTGAAATGTTGGAATATTTTCAAAGAAGTTTCATGGAAGGAGCTATTTATTTGTTTGTAGGGAAAATAATTGATTCACTTAAAGTGCAAAGCAGGAAGGCTTTAACATATATGGAAGACACTGTATGAGTGAATACTTAACTTGGCTTTAAAGCTGCCCTAAGCAATATTTATATATTTAAAAAAATGATTTATTTACTTCATGTAAAGTGACAGGTTGTTGCCTGGAGTAATCAACCCACAGAGAACTGAATAGATTCTGCAGCTCTGCTCATCTCAATTGAGCATTTTAGCATCTTTCAGCTTTTTGTTTTGGTTTTCAGGCCTGAAACTTTACTGGTTTTCACAGACAGACACAGTTAGCAGTTAGCTGGTGAACACAGCCTCATGCCCAATAACAGCAGCAGATTTAAAGCCAATTTGACATAGTCAAATTGTTTCTGAAAACTACGAATACATTACATTTGTACATTATTTTGTAACAGATACACTGAAACTTTGTTTGTCACAACGCGGTGGGTGGTGAAGGTTTGGTTAGGTTAAGGCACAAAAACAACTTGGTTATGGTTAGGAAAAGATCATGTTTTGGCTTAAAACACCCATGTTTAGTGGCAAAAAAGCTGCTGGAAAAACAAGTCCGTAAAAAACACCCAGGATCAGTGCCACACACTGTTGGACATGCAGCAGGTGTTTGTTGGATTCAAACAGTCGTCCATCATCCCCGCAACATCCCAGTGACAAAGTCAGCTTAGATACTTCGTCACTGTAGAAACACTGATATGATTCATATGAAATGTGAAAATATAACATACAGTTGTGCTTTACAGTAACATACAATGCAAACATTTTCTTCTGGCGGTTTGGCTTTGCCATGGTGCCCTAAAAGACTTTATCGCAATGACTGACAAATTTTTTAACCAGAAGTCAAACTTTTTTGGCTTCATGTGCCACTGAGCAGTTTACGTAGGAATGGACGGTGCCCTGCTTCCAATGCTGTATCCCGTTCTCTTTATACATCCATGGCATGTCCTCAGACCATTCGCCATTTTCTGCTTTATCGCTTCAGCTTTGATTTGCTTGAAATGGATATGCCATCAGGTTACTCTTAGATCACCATGATAAAAGCACTGCTTAAGTGAATGATATTCACTTAGGCACCCCAGGACACAGGGAAGCATTTAGCTGAGTTGGTAGATACCTAAAGCAGATCTTAAAGAGACTAAATATTGGACTTAAGTTCACCACATGGCCAGAAACAGGACTCCAAATGAATGATGCTATTTGCTAACACGTTCACCACAACTTTATAAGGGAAAAACACCAAATAGCTGTTTCGAGGAAACTTCTCAGTATGTTATTATGAAATTACAGATCTTAAAGATGAATGTTGCCAAATATTCTTTCCTAAATAAATGGGGTTTGTCAAAGAAAAACTACAAATGACCTCACCTCCTGCTGGTTGTGATGTCAGATCTCAGAGTCTGGTTTTGAGTTTCTTTCGGGGCATTTCAAATGTTTCCTGTCTTGTTTGGACCCATGTGGGCTGCCCTCGTTGCTTGTAAAAACACCTCATCTTCAGAGGCTGTATGCTTACGACCCTCCACATTTTTCCCTGTGTAAAGTAGATGCATACAGAAATGTACTCTGTGACATAAAGAAATGCTGTGGGAATGATGTTTCTGCATGCCGATTTCCCGCGTAGCACTGAGAGAATCAAGTGACGTCTGGAGTTCTTCGCAGATTGGGAAATAATTTGGCCAATCAACGGTCTCCATCATCACAAAGTTCACTCACTGCACTGTCAGTCGAATGATTTCATACTTGCTGCTATTGAATGAGCACAAAGAGACTTAAGTTTTTGATTTCGAGTGTCCATGACACAATTACCGTTTATTATTACCACACACCCCGTTTTTTGTTTTCAACACCTTTTTTCCTACGACAGTCAAAAGACCAACAGTGTTACTCACCATGCACTTGGTTTTTGAATATGATGCCTGCTGAACCAGGTGCCTTAATCAAATATATGAGAACACAAATCTGCACCTTTTGTCAGTCTGGAGGGGGTTTCCCTACAGAAACAAGGGGCTGGGTTTCCCAAAACCTAAACTTGAAGTACAAAAAGCAAATGAACCTCATTTTAAAACCTGAATCAAAACATTTTGTATCCGCCTTTAACAGCAGATGAGAGCTGTTTCACCCTGCAAAGGATTTCCCCGTCGAAGTATTACTAGAGAAGAGCATAAATGAGAACTTATAAACTAAATTGCAGTTGTTTTGGGAAACCTGGTTCTGTTTTGAACTCTTTCTCTGCCCACTACGCCATGTTATTGTGTTTTCTGTATTGGCTGCTGCTGCTATCACCGCTGGTGTGTCCGTGTAGAGAAGAGCAAACTTCCACTGTGTCTAAGGCAGAGGGAGACTTGGGCCTGCGTTTTACCTAGTCAATTACAATGCATCCTTCTTCTTCTTCTTCTTCTGTGGTTTTGACATGGAGCACTGTGTTGCTGCCTCTAGAGACCTTTTTCGAGAAAAACAAAAGAAAAAAAGCATAAAACAGAACTTTCCGTTTCTTAACTTTGCTATTATGAAGTGCCAGACCCTCCTTGAAGTCAGTGTGTTGGCACTGAGTCACAGGTTGCGAATGAAGCGACAAACTGAGCATGGAGGTAAACTGTGGTGCTAATCTGTCAGTGGCTGGGTGCTAACATGGCTGTGTTAAAAAGCTGTATTAGCCATATTATTCCTTCTGTTGATGACTCTGGTCAGTCTTGTGTTTCTGACTGCTGCACTGCTGTATGCTGACATAGCGAGGTATAACTCTGCTGCTGCTGCTTTGCTGATGAATGTAGACTAGTCTTCCTCAGCAGGATCATACAGACAGACGTGAGTGTCTGGTGGAGCTTTTTTCCTGTTGTGCTATTTCCTGTTAGACATTTTGTTCGGAACACAGAGGGAGACTCTTGTCGTCAGGATCCAGAAAAGATCATGAATGTTGTATCTTTATATGGCCGTTGTCCTGCTTGTATGTTTAAACCTTTTTTTATTAATTAATATTATGGTTTGATATTTATGCTCTGACTCTGTCAAATGTTTGCACGTTTGAATTTTTATTCCCTAAATTATATTTTATTGCCTTTTTTCCCTGATCCAAGTGTTCATACCATTTCTTTGATATTTATTTGTTTTGTCCTGTAAATTAACATGTGAGGAGACAATTTGTTGAATCAAGACTTTTTACTAGCTTTTCCACAGAAGCAGGCTTCATTAGGAGTCACATGAGGTTCACAGACATGAATCAAAGTCACAATGAAAACGGAAACTATCTGGCAATTAGTACGTAATAATTACAACATATGTTTTCTTGTATTTTTACGTAGAAATCTTATTACATGTGCTCATGATTTATCGTTAATATGACCTCATCATACGCTACAAATTTAATTTATAGAGGAGATGCAATTAATTAAGTAATGTTAAAATTACATGGCAGAGAATGCGTCATCAGATTATTAAACTACTTAAACAACAATAGAAAGACAAATTAGTGAAAGACATAAATCAGGTTAAAAATTGATTTACAAAAAACTACATAGACAGATACATGAATGCAGCAATTATCGCACCTAACAGAGCAGCACTTTTAAATTTCGTTGTATTGTTCTCAATATAATGACAATAAAGGCACTTTGACTTTTTGGACTTTTTTTTGACAGCAAGATGAATACTTAAAGGAGATCAAATTTACTAATTGTTGGCAGATGAGAAGGTTGTTGCCACTTGTGTCTGTACAGTGAATATAAATCTACAGCAAGCATCTTAGCTTAGTTTAGATTAGCACAAGACTGGTTTGTGTAGACGCACTTTCACCGGAGTTTTAAATGAGCAAAACATTTTTTTTCTATAAACAAAACTTACAATATGTCATCGGAATAACTTGAAAAGTGAAATTACATAAAAATACCACACATGATGGCTTGTTTCTGTGTTCTTGTCTTCCTGTCCTTGCTAACCTATTACTTTATACTTTCTCTGCACTATGTTCTGCCCTAATATCACTTAAAGGAAACAAGAACTGCAGTTTCATTATGACTTTGAGTAATAGTTGTCTGTGAAGCCCATGCAGCGTTTTGACATTGGAGGTTTGAGGCGTGTAGCACCAAACAGAGTTATAATTTTCCGAAAATGTGATAAAGCCTGAAAATGAAACAAAATTTGCACTCAACTTCATCGAAAGTATGATAGAATCCAATAATGCAATAACGTCACCAGTAATGTCATAAAATGTCTGGATTGATATTGTAATAACATTTGTACTGATAATGTAATACCATAATACATTATTGGGAATTTAACTATAATTTTTCAAATCAGCCTTATTGTCTTGATGGCCCCTCTGGAGTTGCGGCATTTTTTTTTCGCACATGCCAAAACAATTAGCCTGTGCTCTCACAGATATTTGAAAGCACCATTTGCAACACAAAGTGATGCTAATTTCGCCTTATTAGGAAGTCATTCACCACGTGTGTAAAAAGTACCCAGACATTATACTTAAGTCAAAGTAGTGGTTCTCAAACTTTTTTGTCAGGCCCCTCTTTGAAATTAGAAAAATCAATCCAACTTTTTTTTTAAAAAATCTAATTTCAAATTTAAATTGAAACCCCTTTTGAATGGAGAGATTTCCACAAATCAGATGAGGCAAAGGAGTCACTCAGTCACTGTTGACTCAGAACATTTTGTGGAGATTGAATTGACTTCATAGCTCGCTTGTGTTATATTAGCCATCTTCTGCAGCTTTTGTCACCTGAAATCGACATCAAAGAACTAGCAATGACAAGGCTGACCATTGCTTCGCCTTACATCGCCTGTGCCTCGGCCAATAAGTTGCACTTGAACACACCGCAAAGACTGCAGCCAGTTGAGACTAGCACTTATGTTCTACGCCTGTGTGAAAGGAAATAACCTTTTATACCAGCAGGTGGCAGTAGTCTGTATTCGTCATTCAAAAAAGGAAACTGATAAGACTGACAGGACAGATTAAAGACATTAGTTAGCCAGTTAGTACATGAACAACACAACCCGATGTTGAAAGAACCAAATTCTGAGCTGAACTGCCGATTTTATTCACCGACGGGCTCCGCCATCTCTTTCTCCGATTTAAAATGCTGAATCAGCTGAAAATAGCTGACGAAGGCCGTCTAATGCCAACTGTGCAGGACACACCGCTAAAACTAGGGCGGCATACACTCACTGACAACCCAACATTGACCAACGACCGACTGTTGGTTTGCTGAAAAACAAAAAAGACCCACATCAAAGTAAAAATGTCATAATAATATCAGTCAGGATTTTTATTCAATTATTGGTCAAGTTATTACATTGTTGGATTTTATTATATTTTCATTGAGGTTAAGTGCAAATCTTACTACATTTTCAGGCGTTGCTACATTTTCAGGAAATTCTAATACTATTGGTGCCAAGGCAGTTAGGACTCATCGAGTCAGCAATGCTAACCTCTCCTTGACACAGCTCCTCTTTTGTCATGACTCTGGACCGAGGTCCGGGTGCTCCACAGCCTTGGAGCTCAGGTTAGGAGTCGGCTCGCCTGCTCTCTCTAACTTTGGTGGGGAAATTTGAACATTTGATTAGTTTTCTGGGAAAACTTCACCACTGCACCAGAGATGTTCCGCCCCCTTCTGGGTGCTTTTCTTTTTTCAGAAGGGCTTTGGTTCGCAGTTGTCTTGTCAGGGAGCTCCTGAGATTAGCCAGGGGCCACTAAAGGCTGGTGGGCAGAGACCCCTCACCCTCCCCTGCAATGAATGATCGGGGGTAGGGAGTCATTTCCTCTTCTGCAGACTGATCTTATTAAAGCAAACAACCCACCCTCGATAATAAAAAAAAAAAACAAAAAACCCGTTTCCATATCTACACACGTCATCATCCAACACTGCAGTGATTTACATCTCCTTCCAGATTTGCCAAAATGCATGGCGCGAGAGACATTTAACAAACAGAAAATGTTTATAATGAAGCATAAGTTCTGTTTCTTTTATTTTTCAATTTTGATAATAAAGACAGACAGTAAGACGATTTCATAGGAAATCCATACAAGTCCAAACATGTAGAGGATGTGGGAAGTATCGGTCACCCTGAGCTCCACAGCTACATGCCATTGTTATGATGCTTCTGGTCTTGTATGGTAACTTATTTGACTAGATCAACAGCATGGGATCTTTCTGTAGTTAGTCCTGTGTGTGTTCCTCTCCCCAGTCTCAGTAGGAAGGCTGTACTTCATTGCTAAGTGCACTATAATAGATCTCTTGGTGATTATAATTTCATAAAGAAGCAAAACCTGCAGAAAGTGTATCCTGCTGAAACTAACTTGATCCTCTCTTTAGCAATGACGTCTATATTTGTAGTTCACATATATGCCTGTTCGAATACAATATCTTGACAATTGTTATATTTATGTTGTGTAATAAATGTCGTGCTGGGTTTTTACTTTTGTTTTATCTAACGTTTTGTTTTTCATTGTATTTTCTTTTCTTTGGAGGCACAGTGGGTGGCTTTATGCACAGGAATGGAAATTTAAAAGATGTTTTTTTTGTTTTGTTTGTTTGGTTTGTACTGTAACGACTCATTCTGGTTCAGAGCTTCTGACAGTTTTCGTCTCTGGCTGCTCGACATCCTGCGGACACCTGCCCCGAATCTCTGTTGTGTTATTGTGCCTCTCTCTTTTTCTTTTTCTTTCTTATTTTTTAAATCATTCTTTCTCTGTTGTATCAGCCGGGAGTTGGTACCACAGCTCTGCTTGTAACCACAATAGATTATGTTTATTGATTTTAATATCAAAATAATAAAACCATTAGCACCCCATCCTGACTCCTGTGTGTTTGATTGGTTAATGTAACTGTGTGCACAAGATCCAGTGTTCATACTGATTTATACAAATGTTTTAAAGGTCCAGTGTGTGGGATGTAGGGGGGTGTATTTGCTGTAATGGAATATAATAAGTATGTTTTACCTTAGTGTATAATCACCTGAAAAATATTTTGGCTGTCAAGGTCACTGTGACCTAACTAAACATGTTGGCCATAACTCAGGAATAAATGTGCTAATTATGACAAAATTTTACACACGTCTGATAGAATGAGATGTTGAAGTGCTGACATTTTACATCCAAAGGGTCAAAGGTCAACTCCAATGTGACATTGTAATATTTGCAAAATACCTTTTCTGGCTGTTATCTAACGCCATATCTCAGGAACAGAAGGGGAGACATTTGGTCACATACTGAACTGCTGACACTGAGGGGGAAGATGTGTGTGAAGTGTCCATGTTTTAGAATTTGTATCTTGCAGTGACATCCATATGTGAAGCATATGTCTTCTGTCATGGCTACATGTGAGTCTGGACAGACATGGATGCAAACTGTAACCACAACTTGACTGGTTTGAGGTGGTAAGTCTAGTTTTAATGTCAAACTGCTTTATTCAGTGTTTTTACCATGAAAAATCACTGGATCCGTTTGTTTTGGAGAAGAGTGGAGAAGAGGGAAACTATGCTGATAATTCGTCTCCGAGTAAAACTGTCTTGAATGTCTGGTTCTTAAATTATTGGAGAAAAAAGGTGAGCACACATTAGCAGGACCTAGGCCTCTCTGCAATGTGCCAAACAGCGTTGGAAAAACACTGATGTGTAACATGAAAATGCTTCATTCAGTGGTTTTACCAGTTTTTATCATCTGGTGCGTTTGTTTTGGAGATGAAGAGACCTCTGCAGTTTATTCAGCTCCCAGTAAAAATCTCCTGAACAATGAACAGTGAAGGAATCCTAACCCGGGAGTTCAGGCTTGGCACATGAGAGAAGTTCCAGCTGGTCGCAATCTGCAGTCCTCAGCCCTAGATTCCACTAAATCCTACACACTGCTCCCTTGATTGAATTTTTACAGGGTAAATAACAGGTCTTACAGGTGCTTTCATCACCTTTGATATGTCCACTGTAATAAGATAATATATGTATAAAGGAGTGGGGAAAAACTACACAGAGTACTTAATGTATAACACACACTACTGGAAATCTTAGTCCCCAGCATCAGCCTCTACTAAAGACATAACTCTTGAAAAAACAAACAAAAACAAACAAAAAAGTCACATTTTTTTTATATGTATAATTCTAAGATGGTGTTACTCAAACAGAGGGAAATCTAATTTAGTATCATATAGGGTCTCGTAAGTAGTTACAGCACCAGGATGGTGTATATGGGACTGACTTTAAATAAACTTCAGTTGCTATCTTCATCATAATGAAAAAACTTGTCAACCAGTGCAACACTGTGGCTCAGTTATGCTTTTTGGACATTGTCCATGGTGCAGAGGAATAAGCTATATAAGACTTTAAGTCAGCACTTGTTAGCTAATTAATTCACCGTTGGTCTCTTGGATATTATAGAATATCACCAGACTTAAAATCCTGCAGGACCACACAGCAAATACAGAATGGCTGCCATGATAAATAACATCACTTGCCTTCAAGAGGGTGTAAAAACCGAAGCGCCAACTTCCAGGGCCAGAGGCTGAAGCCAATGCCTCAAGGTGCCATACCACTGATGGTTGTCTCTTTCCAAACTTATTCAAATAACTTCTTAGCTTTTTATTTTTATTTACTTATTTTTTGGTCTTCTTTGGCTTGGATTTGGAAAACAGGGTTTGGATCGGCAACTGAGCTCTGCAGCAAATATTAATTGACCACCAGATACAACATCACGTCAGATACTTGCACATTGATCTTAGTTGTCATTTCTCTATTGATAAAACTCTGTGTATTAAGCCACAAGAAAATAGTACAATTGAAATATATAAATAACAAAAATCACAAGCACAATCTAGCCTTGATCTTTCCAACACATCCTTCAAAGAGTACATTTGATGTAAAATCTTGAACAATACATCTTTGTCCTTTTTACTAAAACAGTATTTTTCTCTGGGCTGAAATTTGACTCAAGTGCAAACCAAAACATTGCTATGTTGAGCTTATTCATATATATAAAAAAATCACGTCTACAAATTCTCCATTTTTGTACACACCCAAAACATATTTGTGCGATCGCACCTGCATTGCTCTGTTGAGTGTTTTAAAAATGAGGGTCTGATTTAGCTGAATATTTGTGTAAATGTGGTCTAACCCGATGAGGTAAACTTAAATTTTATTTCAACATCACATATTCATTAATCATGCAACCATACATCAACAGAAAATGTTGTTTATTTTGTTTATTTGACAGGATTTTAATGGTGTGCGGTGTGACAGGAACAGAGTCAAATCTATTGCTTCGCCTTCAACAGAGCGCGCTGTCTTTTGAGTCTCCTGCTTGCCGTACAAAAACAAACATGGCGTCTTCTGCGGATGTACACGTCCGAATTTGTGGACAAGAAATCATAAAATATGACCTGGAAATTAAGGCTCTCGTTCAGGTAAGAACTGAAAACGTGTTATTTGTCCATTGATTTATTTTTTTTGCTCATGCTGGTATCGGTTTCGTTTCGGAGAAGGCATAAAACTAGCTAACACACGAATGAAGCTAACGTTAGCTAACACTTAATGAAAGCAGTTAAAAGAGACACAGTGGAAAGAGGAACGTGTTTATTATTGTTGTGACGATGTTTCATCGTATTTCCTTCAGTCTCCGTTGAAAGTTTTATTCGCTCTGTTTTATATATCTGACGTCTTCACGAAATAAGTAGCTGATGTAACAGCTGTTGATGAACTGACCTACATAGGACGGATCAATGAGGAGTTACATTAGTTATCAGTTGGAAACGAGTGTTTAAACCTGATCTGTTATTAAGCATCACACGAGACCTTTTGACCAAATAGTGAATCTATGTTAGAAAAATTATGTAGTTTAAAATGCGCGAATAAATTACGTTCTGTTAGTAAAGAGATTCTCCTTAGATATAAACAACATTTTTAATTATATGTTTACATAAAGAGAAAGTATTTATTAGAGCTGATCAGTTAGTCTCATAATTGATTAGTTAATTGCCAGGCAGTTACTAGGCAACGATTTTAATCAGTGATTAATTATCATAAATCTTTTCTTTAAGCAAAAAATGGCAAAAATGTTCTTGTCCCAGCTTCTGAAATGGTAATGTTTGCCATTGTGCTCCTTTTTGTTTTATAGTAAATTGAGTATATTGTGTTTTTAATCACACAAAACAAACAAGTATGAAATTGTGATGTTTATATTATCTTCTATATCATTTTATAGACCAAAAGATCAGTTGCTTAATTAAGACAGTAGATAAATCTGCAGCTTAATGAATTAAGAAAATGATCATTAAGTTGCAGCCTAAATATTTATGATGAAAGGTTACTTTTTAAAAAAAATTACATTACATACAATTTATTTATTATAATATTGTGTAAATGATTAGTGTGTAAAAAATAATATGAACAAAATCAATAATTAAAAAGAAGTGTTTACTCATTTGTAAATTTCAGACTACAGTTTTTGTTTTTTAATTTTTACAGGAATGATGGATGGATGCATGTATCAATCACCACTTGACTATATTCATGTAATGTTAAATTACTTTATTGGTTTGATATTAATATTTTATTTTATTTTATTTATTTAATTATATTTCAACCCTGTAATCAATGTGTACTCAGCAGCCAGTAAGAGTCGAGTCAAGCTGTATTTTCTGAATATATAAATTCCAAAATAGTTGTTAGCGATGTGTTTCTGTGTTTTGTTTCAGTGAGTGTTTTGCTCACTTGTGTTTGTGTTACTCGCAGGACATCAGGGATTGCCCCGGGCCTCAGTCAGCTCTCATGGAGCTCAACTCTCAGGTCAAAGAGAAGTTCAACCTGCTCAGACTCAGAATACAGGTCAGGCCTCACATCATAAGCATACTGTGTCGGACCTGAAAGATATCTGCTCAAAATCCAAACTGTTTCACTCGATGTGGTCATGTGGTGTGTTGTTGTCAGGATCTGGAGCAGATGGCCAGAGAGCAAGACAGAGAGATGGACAGACTGGCCATTCAGGCGGAAACAGAGAGCCAGAAAAAACAAATGCTGAGGTGTGTGAATGAACACACAGACATGAAAATTGCAGCAGTCATCTTCATTTCTCTATTGAATCTTTGACTTTATTGAAGTTGTCAATCACACTAAATGCTAGTGTTCAGTCCAGTGTTTAAGTGAGTAAAGAGATCTGTATCTGGCTCTCAGTCAACACATCAAAATGAGCTGTCATGTTTGGCTGTAATCCCTCTTCGGTGGTGCCTCTGTCTGCTCAAGTGGGTTTATTAGTAATATTTTAAATAGTAGCTTGTATTTTATTGTGTTCAATAAAATGTTCAATCTTGTGTTCTAGAGCTAATAAGACTTTGAGAGGCTGATGAATGCAAGTAGTACATTTGGGACTGATGGGGTTAAACAGCATGATCATTAAACAAACTGTCCAGATGAGAGGAAGAAATCATAAACAGTATTTACAGTTCTCAGAGTTGGTTTCTGTGTTTTTTCCCCTGTGGATTCCAGTAACCAGACAGCATGGAGGAAAGCTAACCTGGCGTGTAAACTAGCCATAGACAACATGGAGAAGGACGAGCTGCTGCTTAGAGGAGAAAACCAGAGCACCAGGCAGAGGTCAGTACAATTCTACTGAGAATCCACTGTGCTGCTAAAATGATGAGTCATACCTACAGTTTTTGGCAAACTTTTAAGTCTTCCTGTAATCTGAGTCCAGTCAGGAGAGACTCTTGGCATTGTAAACATGTATCTCCGAGTTGCATCAGCTCAGCGGACAGTGTGATAACTAAGAAAATAAAAATCAATCAATATTTTAAGTAGTTTGTCCTTGTTAAAAATTAAATTACAGCTTAACCATTACAGTAAATTATTTTATGATTCAAAATAATGCATAGCCAGCCGGTTATGAAGGTCACATGGTTTACCTGCAGCGAATCATTATCTGTTACAGAATCACCTAGAGTAATTTGCCAGCGACTATAATGCTGTTCAGTATGACAACTTTTATTAAGAAGGAGAGGAAATATTTCCTCCTGCCTGAACATGGCTTTTGTATGTGATTGTAAAATATCATGTTGGTTTCTGGTAATTTGTGATGACTCATTGATTTTTTATTCAACATCTCAAATTATTAAAAACAGATGAATCATGAATGAAAGCAAACATTTTAAGTTGTGACTTTGCTCTGCTGGTAGAAACAGGATGCTTTGAGCAACCAAACCTTAGACCGTATACAAAGATGGACGGCGCATCTCCACTTTCCCCCCGTACAAAAATGAAGCCAAAATATCCCAGACACGGCTGCTGCCATTTTGCGCTGGTGATGTCATTTGGAGCCAGAGGCTGTGCAGAAGTGACATCCGCCGGTCTCAAGTTCCCGCCCATTCACCCATCCTACCAATCACAAGCAGTGCCGTTGACCACAAGCACATCATTTGGCACACACAGCTGTCAATCATGACATCAAAGCCCCATGTTGTTGTTCATGCACACATGAGCAATCATCAGCATGATAAAATCTGTCTAAAATAACAGAAACCATCTTTCTGAAAAATGTATTTGATGTGCACTTTGATTTTTTACTTTGGCCCATGTCCTATCCACTAACACTGAGGGGGTGGGATTTATGACCTACATTGCAGCCAGCCACCAGGGGGTGATCGAGGTGTTTTGGCTTTGCTGTCATGTTGTCCATGTTTATATACAATCTATTTTACAGACAAACAACAGATTTCTTGGACTCCAACAAACAACAAATAAAACATCATATTACTGCTACTCTGCTGGATTGTAGATTAAGCTGTTTCCCAGAACAGCAACAAAGCATCACCTGAGCTGCTCTGTGTGTGTTTTTGTCTCAGGAAGGTGACTAAAGAAAGTCTAGTGGAAACCAGCAGCAGCATCACAGAAAGTCTGATGTCTATAAGCAGGATGATGGCTGAACAGGTGAAGCAGAGCGAGGACACCATCGGCACACTGGGTAAAAACAAAAAGACTCTACTTTGTCCATGTGCTTTTTTTTGTACATTTGTATGTTGTAATGTACAAAAGGTAAATCAAATGAAATCAAAATCAAATCATGTTTTTCTCTGTGAAAACCCTTTTACATTTAAATCTCCTGTCAACATTTTTTAACTCATCTTGTAACATTTTATACCTTTATTACACCTCCTTCTCCTCACACAGCCACCTCCTCCAGGACGGTGCAGGAAACCAACGAGGAGTTTAAAAGCATGACAGGAACCATCCACCTGGGGAGGAAACTGATCCTCAAGTACAACCGGCGGGAGCTGACAGACAAGCTGCTCATCTTCCTGGCTCTGGCGCTCTTCCTCGCCACCGTCCTTTACATCCTTAAGAAACGTCTCTTCCCCTTCATTTAGCTGGTTGGCTAAAGGACGCACCCAGGCTTCAGGAACAATGTTTTCCACGTATTTCACTCAGCCGATAGTTACCACAAGAACTTGCAGCAGGTATGGACTACTTGGAAGAGACTGGACTGCTGCACAGAGACACTGTCAAGGGAAACTTTCTTCTTGTTTGGCACCCTAATTTTTAGCTTGAATAACATGCGGGTTTATAAAATGTGTATGAAGGGTAAACTGGCATTATGAAGTTTCATGCAACAACAGTGGTAAGTTTAAAGCCTTGATATGCTTCAAACAAACAAGCCAAGTCTATATGCTTTTTGCTAATAGCCACACCCGATGCTGGGGTGGAAAGCCTGCTGTCAAACCCTCCACCTGGTTGCTATACACTGCCTTTTTTTCAAGTAGGTATAGCTGCGGCTGGAGCGGCCTCAGGAATCACCCATCGCACCTACATGTTAGTCCACGATCAGCCCCCTTCACCCCTCGATCCAGAAGCAGAAAATACGACTGCAGTTATACGTCCCCTTTTTTAGAAAAGCACTTTGAAGCATACTGAGGTCTTAATACTTCTTCTGGCATTCGGAACTAACCAGGGTTTAAAGCCATAGTATTTAATAACGCTCTCTTTGTTTACTTATTATCAAATTGTGTGATGTTTTGTTAAAGGAATACTTGACCCCCCCAAATGATCATTTGTATATTAATTACTTACTCTGTGTTACGTTAATTTCAAGAAGAAAACTGTGCCAGACATGCATGCAGTGAATGAAGCTCTGCGGCACTTCCGTTTCTTCTGTGAACCCGGCGTAACACGGGGTGAATAATTGATATTCAGATAGTCACTGAGGAGTTTAAGTATTCCTTTAAGTGTGTATGTTTCAAAGATGCTGCTGTTACAACTGTTAACGAGTTTACCTTGTGCCTTTCTTCCTTCCAACTGGACGTCCAGAAAACTAATCTCTTAATCATCCTGTGAAAGGCGTGCACTCTGTCGATAGACTGTGTGTGAATGTTGATTAATGTTTGTTAGAATAAAATTGAATATTTCCAACATACTGAGGGATATGTTGTTGTGATGCATTGTCACAGTTGCGCCAGCAGATGTCAGGATACCCAATATTTATCCCCATTAGAGATGCTGTACCATTAGTTTGTAATGGACTGACTAAATAACACACTTCTCTCTGTCCAGAGACATCATTGTAGTTTATTTAAATTCAATCAAAATGCTTACAAATGTACTTTTAGATTCATTTAAATAAAAACTTACAAAACATAGCTTGAAATCTGGGGTCTGTATGAACTTGAATCGTTCAAGTAGAACATCTGAAATACACATTTATAACACGTCACAACCAAAGAGTGCTTCCCTCCCTGCAGACTGCTCCCTGACTGTCTACAAAATAACATTTGATAGCGTGTCAGCTATATGGTGCATAATATCACAATCCTCATAAATACAAAAACAGATTTAAATAGGTAGTATATTGACTCTGAGCCATCAGCTGCACTTGAGCTATTCCCTGTAGTGTTTACTTGTGTGTGTCCATGCCCTTTGCTGAAGGATACAGCCACTGTGGTTTACAGTGATGTTGAAGTGAGGTAGATAATTGGTTTTCATCCTTGTACAAAGTCAAATGTAAAGAAAAATATTAATATAACACAAATACCCAACAGATTAAACAGGTTATGTTGCATTGCTTTCACCAGCAATACAATTAATTCTACTCCTAATACAACAGTAATAAGTGCATGATCTTTGTATCTTTGTGTACCCTGTCTGCACCCCTGTGTAACTGGCCGGTCTTTCTATGAAGCTGTAACATTGGATTTCTCGGACAGACCAGATTCAGTCGTGTTGTCAATCTGACTGAGCCTGCTCCTGTCCTCTGGTTCGGCTGCTGTGGTTGGCTGCTGCAGGGTTTCTTGAGCGGAAACAGGCCAGGGCACAGTGGGTGGTGTGGCTGTGGTTTGCTGTGGAAGGTCCGTTAGGCTGAGAGTGCAGGTACTACCGAAGCTGCTGCACAGCGGCCCCCAGTGTTGCTCACACTGCCTGCGCAGCCGCCGACTGACCCACAATCTGACCTCGTCTCCACACTTCAACAGGAAGTTCATCAGCTCCACGTACGGTCTGGTAGGACATGCACACAAAAGAAAGAATGACCTGCTGTTAAACTCAGACTTGTGGTATATTCAAGAAAATAAGATAGCAAATATTTTGACTTCTCATAGAAGGAAAAGTACAGGTGTTACCAGCGTGTGCAATACCAGGACCCTGAAACTGAAGAGCTGAATGAAATTTTAGCCATCATAATTTTTTGTTTTTATTATTCACACCCTTTTCACACCCTTTCTGTGATATATCAAAATCCCTTACGTGAAAAAGGCCAGTGGGCTCACAAGCACAAATCAGCAACAGCTCCTGGTGAGGGATGCCATTTATTTCGTGTTTCACTTTTAAATATTTATCTGTGAAATGCAAAAATGTAGTATAACATGAACCAAAGTAGAGCAGATTCATAAAGTCAGCGGACTAAACCTGTAATGCCCTTAAAACAGCATTAGCCTATCTGTGTGAAGTTGCTAACACTAGCTAATGTTAGCCACCAGAAGCCATATGTAAGCCTGTAGCAGGAAAAACCCCTGAGTGTATTAAATTGATTAATGAGGCATTTTATTGTTTATTAATTCAAGTTTTCATTTGTGAGAAGAAGATTGTGATCTACCTTCTTTCAAAAGTTGCATACTCTTCCTTTAAAGTAGTAGTAGTATTTGTTTCTCTGTGTGTGTGTGTGTGTGTGTGTGTGTGTGTGTGTGTGTGTGTGTCTCACCCTGAGGGAAACATCAGGTGGAACTGGACCAGGCTGCCCATGGTATCAATGTGGTCTCGTAGCACCAGGCAGAGCTGGTGTTTGGAGTAGCACTCTCTCTGCAGCGAGAACACCATCTCCTTTACCGCTGAGCACCTGCGGCTCACACAGCTGAAGCGCTGCCGCAGTCCCAGTGCCATGCACCGCAATGCATCCTTCACAAAAGACTTGCCCTGGGAGGAGGAGGAGGAAGAGGAAAGCAACAGGATAAATCAGTGGGACATTGCTGATGGTTCTGTTAGAAAAGCTGCTGTACTGAGCGATCGCAACATCAAATCTGGCCTGGGATGTTGGTCAACCCCCCTATTTCTTTGACTTCCTGTGTAAAATTACATACCTAGACTTTATTTTCAGTGTATATCCAATCTACAAGAATATGACATTTTGTGTGTGGTTATTATCTCAAGTGAATAAAGAAACACCATTGTTACAATAAGCAGACATCTGTAAACCAAACTGGAAAAAAAAGTGACTATGCATATGAAAGATTGGGCCATATATGTCTTTTTACAGAGTCAAAGTATGTGAAAATGTGTCCAATTGCATGATGATAACTTAAGTTGTAGGCAAGTGTGATATTTTCTTACAGAGAGTCACCATAGCCATTAACAAACTAAAACAATATCAAAAAGAAGTTATAGTATATTCTGTCATATAAAATTTGATATAAAAAGAAATATTACAGTATGCCATAAAAAAGTTCACATTGAGGGCTCTAGTTTCCGGGCGCAGCGCAGGGTGGTGAACCCCGCGCAGAGCTAGTTTCAAGCAGCGCAACCCGAGGCGCACTCAGTTTGGTAGTTTGGCAGACCGAGGTGCGCTGAGATGGGTGTGGCAGGGCAGCAGGGGGAGGTCAACAGAGACCTCATATGAGACCTCATACTATACTATGACTTTTTGATCATATTTTGGATGACATACTATACTATGAGTTTTTCATCATATTTTGGACCTCATACTATACTATGACTTTTTTATCATATTTTGGACCTCATACTATACTATTACCTTTTTATCGCATGTTAGACAACATACTATAATATGACTTTTTATCATATTTTGGATGACATACTATACTATGACTGTTTTATCATATTTTGGACGTCATACTATACCATGACCTTTTTATCATATTTTGGACCTCATACTATACTATGACTTTTTTGTCATATTTTGGACCACATACTATACTATGACTTTTTATCATATTTTGGACGTCATACTTTACTATGACCTTTTTATCATATTTTGGATGACATACTATACTTTGACTGTTTTATCATATGTTGGACCTCATAACCTACTATGACCTTTTTATCACATTTTAGACAACATTCAATACTATGACTTTTTATGACATTTTGGACGTCATACTATACTATAACTTTTTTATCATGTGTTGGACGTCATACTATATTATTACCTTTTTATCACATTTTAGACAACATACTATACTATGACTTTTTATCATATTTTGGACGTCATACTATACTATGACTTTTTT